CGGGGGGGGAGCTCCCGTTCCTTCCTATTATTCTTCTGGAATAATTAAATTCTGTTTATCCTTTTCCTCCTTCTGGCATTCGCTTGCTACTTTCCGTGAATAATGAATGAGTAGAGAAGCTGTGCATCCGAATGAGAAATGTCTTACGTGATGATTTTCTTTCTGCTAGCACTTCTCTCTGGATTCATCCCACCCTGGCAGTCTGGTAAATGGCCAGAATATACACTGAAATTTTTCTCTAAAAGGAGACAGACATATGTTGCCTTAAGGTTAATTTAATATATTAGATCAAGTTGTTTTAATGCTAATAATTGGTTGCTGGAGTGTTTCTTTGGCTGTGGAATAACTCTTTTGGTGGCCTAGTCCTGGAGCCTCCAGCAACATGGGACTGCCTCCAAATTCTACAGGTGGGAATCATTGGCCCATGAGTAATGAATGTGGAGAGAAGCTGCAAACAGAAAATTAGGTAAGATTTCTCATTTCTACAATTATGGCTCCTTCACTGAAGTGAAGAAGATTGCTGCTCTTGTATCATCTAATGTGGGTCATATTTTGATAGAAACATATCTAGATGTCTTTAATGCCATTAATCGTTAGGTACGTAGTCATAATCATAACTTATCTGATTGAAGTTTGTAAACCTTTACCAGTGCTCTTTCCTTGTTTATAACTAAGTTACAGATTCTTTGGGCACAATTTATGATAATTTTTTCTTTTATTTATTTTTTTAGAAAACTGGTTTGTCTTATTTTTGTGGCTTTCCTCTGCATTGATTGTTTTCTTATCAGCATTTGGTCCTTTCAAGTTTGACAACTATTAAGTCTCTTTGTCTCCCACTTATTTATGTAGCCCTTCCCTGCCATGTCATGTCCTGAAGTCTTTGCAGACAATATCAGTGTCCCGGGGTCCTACTCAATACACTAAGATAGTATAAGACTTTCCGCCTGAGGAAGCGGTACATGCTGAATTGACCAGAGGCACTGATGTACCTAGCTGCAAAACACTCTCCACTGCCCATTCAACTGCTAATGTCCTAGAATGTTAGAGCAGTGTTCTGTTGTTAAATCAACAAAAAAAAATCTTTTTTATTTATTTCCTCATGCTGCTTATTCAAGTTGACAGCTTTTTCTCCCTGGAGTTTTAAGGATACATTTGTATTGGATTTAGTAACAAAAGTTGTGGGAGTTCATAATGAAATTTCTGTCTGATTTACTTACAGTCTGCAGAAATTCAAAAATACATCTGTTGTATCAGCACCGAGACTAACAGGAAACCTCAGCTACCAAGTAGGTCACTGTTTAGGGCAGAGATTCTCAAACTGGGGCAGGCAGAGTGGAATGTATTCTGCGGGGGGCGTGAAGTTTTAGGGGGGGAAAAATGTACTGCACACATTTTCCCCACAGCAATGAATAACTAGCTAAGCTGATTCTTCCAAATATATCAGGTCCTCAGGTTGCGCTGTGCATTTGACTCTAGATGACGCTGTGCGTTTTGATGGATTTCTGTTAAGCTTGCATAGCATTATACAGAGTCATTGCCATCTGTACATTAATCCGTTTCCTACGATGCAGTGTGGATATTTAATTGAAGGTAGAAGGGGATCTCTGGATAGCTGTCTCAAGCATACTACCCAGTATGGAATTGCTGTGCTCCAAAAAACAGGTGCACCCATCACACTGGTAACAGCATTGTGATGCATGTAAGATCTCACTTAAAATGTATATTACTCTATATTTAAATGGCTCTGTTCGAATCAATGCCTTACTGTTTTTAATATTTAGTAAGAGTTGCCTGTTTTTTTAAATCAGTATATGTACTTGTATAGTGCGGGGGGTGGGCGTTAACTACTACAGACACAAAGAAGGGGGGCACGATCAAGTATGTTTGAGAACCACTGGTTTAGGGTAGACTTGTCAGCATCTAATATTCTTAGAATTCTTCTTCCCCCACGCCCAAAAAATGAATATGTGTGTGTGTGTTTTGTTTTGAACTACTTGGCAATCATTTTAATAGCTTATCAAAAAACTTGATTTATAAAGCAGTAAGCATTCAGAAAAGACCAGGATTGTGTTCTATATTGCTTAACCACATTTATAATCCTTTCGTTTTTATCTCATAAAAAGATGTATTACTCATGCAGCAAGAAAATGAATTTGCTTTTCAAAAATATTATCAGAAAAAAAATAACGTTCTTGCAGTTTCCTGTTATAATTAAACATGAGAATCCTCTTTCTTCTGTTATATTAATAGGTTGTAAGATGAGAATGATTTTTGGTATATAGCACCACAATTTATTTTTCTTATTTTTCTCCATTAACCAATTTTGGAGAACTTTTCCAGTTGGTAGGCTGGCACACATGCAGAAGAGCCTTATTAATCCTATTTCCTAAGGATCCTAAAAAGCTAAAAACATCTTAGTGAGTTTGAGGTACTTTTATGATCTGGAGGAAGGGCATTCCACATACCCAAAGCTACAGAGGCAAGATATGAACTATACCCCTTCTTCCACAACAATTCTCAAGCTGCAACAGCCCCATTTTTTTCTTACATGTCTAAAAATACAGAGAGGCGGGGGCGCCGTGTTTGGGGGGGGGGGGGGGGGGGGGGGGGGGGGGGGCTAAAAACCCGAGCTCTGCCCCAGGTCCTGACCCCACTCTACCCCTTCCCCCAGACCCCTGCCTCTTCCTGCCCCCACTCCATCCCTTCCCTCAAGCCCCACCCCACCCCACCCCACTTCTTCCCACCCCTTCCATGCCCCCGCTTCACCCCCGCCCTTCCTCTTCCCATCCCGTTCCGCCCCCTCCCCTGAGCATGCCCCACCCTTGTTCCTCGCCCTCTCCCCCAGCGCCTCCTGCACGCTGCAGAACAGCTCATCCGCAGCATGCAGCAGGAGCTGGGAGGGAAGGGGAGGTGCTGATCGGCGGGGCCGCCAGCAGGCGGGAGGTGCTTGGGAGGAAGGGGGAAAGATGGATAACGGTGGATGCTCAGCACCCATCATTTTTTTTCCCCTGGGTGCTCCAGCCCTGGAACACCCATGGAGTCGGCGCCTATGCATAAAATTATATAGGAGCCAGAAGGCAGTGAGATATTCAGGACCCAGTCAGTTAAGGGTTTTGAACATTTTAGAATTGAAACCTAAAATTGAATCCATGCCCAAACAGACAGCTGATGCAAAGAAGTGGGAACCCAAATTTTCCCCTGCCCACGTTGGACAACTATCGAGCCATTTCTTTCTGCTTTAGTTGCATGCAGAAGATCAGTTCCTTCCCAAAATAAAGCTAATTGGAGTAGTTCAAGTGTGATGTCACCAGAGATGGCTGCAGACTTGTAACATTCTCAAAATGGCAGCAAGACTGCCAGATCCATGGCTGCCAAGTGATCTTTATAATCAGCCCCGGTCCAAGAGGGGGTTAATAAAGGAAAAAAGCAAGGGGGAGAAATACAGATACTAACTTCTTTTTTTTTTTTTTAAAGATCTCCAGTGTACAACTAGAATACTGTACTCTTGAATATACAGTGTTGATGCGTATAAATGTTATGGATTATCTGGTAGCAACAGCTAGCAACACTATACTGAAAGTTCTGTACAGTGTATCCTTTATAAACTCTCTCTCCTGAGTTTATAAACAGTCACATGCGAGAAATTGCTGCAGGTTCAAGCTTTGCAGACAAGGTCTTGACTGGCAAACAACTTTAAAATAAACTACATTCCAAATGCCAGATTTTCAGACTCTGGTGCTTAACATTTGGGCACCTAAATCTTTATTTAAACACCTAAATCTCTTTGTTTTTTTTTTTTTACTGTTCCGGTCCAATTCCTATGGAAGTCCGTGTAAAGACGCCTTTTGATTTCAATGGGATTTAGATCCAATTTTTAGCTAACTACTGATTAATTTGCCTAAATCAACACCTAGCGCCCCAACTTTGAAAATTGGACACTAAATCAATTCAGCGATTTAAGTTCTAGAAAATTATGTTGGTCATGAGAAGGATTTTTTATGAATTAAGATGTATTTTACAATTCTCTAATTTGAAAGTATATCCAGTTTTAAATTATTAGCATTTTGGAGGATTAGATAGGTAAAATATCAGAATTTTCTCTTTCCATTGCTAAGCTTATAGGGTTGTTTTACAAGACTTAAAGAACCTTTAGAGAGGCAGTTACAATTTTAACTTCTCGTGTATTCTGTTTTCTTTTGTAATCTAATGGATATTACAAGGCTAATTTGGTAAGAAAACAAAATGTGGCTGCTATCATTAGTTTATTTTGGGGGAAGATATCTGAGGCATTAAAAGAATGTGACCCTTGGCATCTTGATAGAGCCAGGTAAAGTTGATGTGAGTGACCATCTGGTGACTGCTGACTTTGCAGCCTCTCCTCGCAAGAGAGTGCCATTAGGACTCCTGAGGGTGCAAAGAAAAACAGAAATAAAGCAGCATGAAAGGAACTGATACTGTCACTCTGATCTTGAGGCAATGCTCATATATCAGCATTGTTTGATAGTTTAATCTCCTTTCTCTCCCTTGACTTCAGGTTGTGTGTACCCTTTCAACCTTTTCCTCCTCTTGTTCTTTGGGGAAGTCAGTTTCCCAGGAAAATGTAGCTGAATGAGTAACTAAAAACTATCTATGGCTGTTTTTCATTGTATAGGATACCTTTCTCTTTTATTAAAGAAAGATTTACATTGACTTTAATCTCCAGTAGTAAAACCTCTAATCCCTCAGTCATATGTACCCAAGATATAGTAGTTGGTGTTGACATCATCTGTGAGGATTGCTGAATTTTCTCCATATACTGTGAACTTTTGTTCCCTCATATATCTGCCACAGCCAAAATTCTCTCCTTGGTGAGAATGAATGGATGTGATATAAAATTGGACCTTATACAGAAAGAAAAACTGACCCTTTTGTATATGCTTATGTATGTGCCAATATATTTTTGAAGCATAAAAAAGTAGATCTTTATACCTTCCTTTCCCTATGATTCCAACTAAATGAAGTCAAGGACAACTGGCTCTTCAAATGGAGTTTCCCTATTCAAAGATGATATGAGCAGTGAAGATCTGCGGTATCGTCCTGCTTTGTTCTCACCCGCAAGCTCAAGAAGGAGGCTGGAGGACGAGGTTGAACCAGCTGTGTGTACCGTGGACAAGCGCATAGGCATCTCGCCAGCTCTGGGTAATGCTTTAGAGCACATTGTGGAGCAGCTGGATGTTTTGACTTTAGTGAGTATGCAATGGACTAGTAACGCTTCCTTAATTAATATGGTAATTCCCTCATTACTGGGTAAAAAACCTGGAGCCACGCTCATAACCCGAAGTATTAAAATGTTGTGTGGGCTGACTTTACAGATGGTTAGAGTCCTGCTGAATTCTTTCAATCTCATGAAATGTTGGCCATATGAATTAAATTCATTAAAGTCAACATAGAAGGTTCTTTAAAAAGCTTTTTCTTGTTATGCAACTGCCAATGGCATTTTAAAACTTTGAAAGGCTATTGTTATATTTTTAACTCTTTGGCTGGGAAGTTGGGATTTTTCAGTAGTAACTGCTAATGTTGATTTACCAGAAGCCTGCTGTTGACTAGAGTGTGTTAGATTCCAACTTGAACAATCATGCTCTGACAGAGGATGAACAAAATAAGAAAGGCAGAACAGTTGAGAGAAGAGCATCCCCATCTTTTGGTAGTTCCAGGACTATAGACATTTTCAGCCTGAGGGCTCCAGGTTCTAGGTATCAAGGTAGAGTCCAGGCACAGGCATAATTCTAAAAATCAGTGTGAGACAGAGCAAATACCAGCATTAATCAATGGCTTCTGATTCAGTTGAAAATTCTCATCATTTCCTCTCAGTAACTCAGCTCCAGCCAATTTATATTTAAGATATTGCACTTTACTTGGTAATTTATTAAAAGTGTGCCTAATTGAAATGGGGTAGTCAGATAAATGTAGTGAAAGAAATGCTGAGCGAAAATGCTTAATTTATCAGAAGAATCAAAAGGGCTATCAGTTAATTGTGGAATAATGTAGATTAAAGCAGAACAGTCTAGAAAGTTACCTTTCTAGAAATAAAATGAATTCTTGGAGGATGCCTTTTATTTAGTACTTTAAAAAAAACAAACCTCTTTTTTGGTTGTTTCTGCAGTGCTTGTTTTTGTAGCTGGAGACCCAAACAATATGTTCCATTAATGGATGATATTTTATTTTATTTATATTAAAGCTTGTGTAGATGAATAATTATCCAGGGATACAATACCCTCCAGTAAGTTTTGTTGAGGCAGGTTTATGCCTTTTGACAATCCTCTTAGTTAAAAAGCCATAGTATTAATTTTGGGTTTAAATGGGAGACTATCTAAAGCCAGTATTGCAGCCATAGTCTTTTTTGTTATTCAGTACAAGCCATTGTTTTTGTGAATAAAGCATTGTGCACATTTATGATATTGCAGAAATATGTAAAAAATACATGACTGTCCTCTTCTTGCAGACTATTTCAATCCTGGAGCAGCGATTGACTTTGACTGAAGATAAACTGAAAGAATGCTTAGAAAATCAACACAAAATGTTACTTCAAGCCAGGCAAGGAGAATAAAAAGTACAAATGTAGTTGATCTGTACTGATGAATATGTTTCATACATTCTCAGGGAACTAATAAATGATGATGCCTTATTTAATCTCACAATAAGCAAAAAGCAAATTTTGTCTCTTATTTTAACCTATTGCTGTAAGGAGAAAAAAGTGGAAAAAGCACATGCAGTATATTTTAAAAATATAGTGGCAAACTAACGTTTGGTTAACATATTTAATAAAATGTAGTTTAGCAGAAGATTAATACAGTTTTAATACACATTTTGGGTGACTCTTTGACATCCATAGAGTGAGGATTTCACTCTTTATTTTGTTTGTTACCTCTCAACCTTTCATCCTCATTACATTCTACCAGTTGGCAGCCTATACTTAAATATTTTCCCAGGCCTAAGAACCTTTTTTAAAAGCACTGAACAACAAACTATGCAATTTTAGATGGAAGGCATTTATTGTGAAAGGAGGTAAGGCAGCTTTTTCAACCTAAGTGAGACTTACTTAAAATGAAGTTGCCTTAAGAACAGCAGGTAGAAATTATACCCATAGAGAAGTGACAAGACCTGCCCAACTCCTAAGAAATTTCAGGGGGATTTTAGGGACTTCTGTTTTTTTAAGGGTAAGCAGATTTTTTTTATTACAGATATGAACTATAGCCCGTCCTGCACCCCAAGCCTCTGCCCCAGCCTTGAGTCCCCTCCAAGAGACAGCACCCCGTACCTCCTCCTGCACCCCAACCCCCTGCCCCAGCCCTGATCACCCTCCCAGAGCCAGCACCCCATGCCCCCTCTTGAACCCCAACACTCTGCCCCAGCCCGGAGCCCCCTCCTGCACCCATACTTCCTCCTAGAGCTTGCACCCCTCACCCCTTCCTGCACCCCAACCCCTGCCCCAGGCTCAGCCTCCCACACTGTGAACCCCTCGGCACCAGCCCAGAGCCTGCACCCCTCCCGAACCCCTGCCCCAGCCCAGTGAAAGTGAGTGAGAGTGGGGAGAACGAGCGACGGAGAGAGGGGTGGATGTAGTGAGCAGGGCAGGGCTTCAGGGAAGGGGTGGGGCCTCAGGGAAGGGGCAGGGTAAATCCTGGGTTGCCCTTACATTCAAAAAATGATCTTGGGCGTAAAAAGGTTGGAGACCACTGGTATAGCTGAACCCCTTTTCCTGTGTTGAGCCGCACTGAAATCACTAGAGCACAAGGGCACACCCATGGAGATTTGATTGCAGAACTGGGGTCAAAGGGGCAAACAACATATCTCAAACATTGTTATTTAAAACTCTGTCATGATCACTCATTTCTGACCATGCTAGTTCTGTTGGCGCATAATAATCTGTGAATTTGGTCCATCGATATATATAAAAAAAACCAACTAATCAGATAACATATTTACATTTTGGTCTTGAACTGCACTTATATTTGGGGGAAGAGATATTTCATAGGGAACTAGCCTTTCAATTTGGTCGTCTGGGTGCATATGTATTTCTGTGCAAATATGTACTTATAAAATGTCTTCCATAATGAAAGTCATTGTTGCAGTCGTATCTATAGGTTTAAGATAGATCTGACCTTGGATTATGCAATTATTTATACCACTGTACAATGTGTGGCTACATAAATGCTAGCTTTTAGATCAATGTACTTTGCTTATTATATTTTAATATTTTCACATTCTTACTTAACACTGAGTTTTCCTCATTTGATTGAGAGGATTAAGGGCTTGTCTACACAGAGCAGCAATGCTCACTACAGGGTGTGATTTCTGAAGCACACTAATGTGTTTCACATTAATTGGTCCATGTAGACCCTGCTGGTGTGCACTAAAGGTTCCCTAGAGTACACTTTAACGAAGTGCTGTTTGAAATAGAAATCACTCCCCCCCCCCCCCATAGGATTTATTACCCCACCATGTAGAAATGTAGCCCTTTAAATCTCATGCAGTTGCTATTTTCTCCTAATGAGCTATCCTTTATTACAAATAAAAATCAACCTTATCAACAGAATCATTTTGTTGTTCTTTGAGTGATTGCAGATGTCCATTCCACTGTAGGTGTGTGAGCACTCCAGTGCAGTTCTTGAAGAGTCTTTCCCTGAGCAGTACCCATTGGGGTGGCACGAGCACCCTCTGGTGTTTTGTACCTCATGTGCAGACATAAAGGGCCTTGGGGGACACACAGTTGGGGACTGGGGCTGTATCAGTGTCCCTTTTGGAACCCAAGAGGTTCTCCCCTCAATCAAGAGTGTCCCCACAGTCACCGCACCTGGCTCCATCTACTGGCCATCAGGAGCATCGATGCCACAAGTACCCTAGTGTAATGAGCCTGGCACCGAACAGATTCGGGATCTCTTTCACGAGCAGCCACAAGAGGAGCAGGAACTGGATTGGCTCCCAGTACCATTGGCATCCACTTTCTCATCCCCCGATGAGACAATTGTGCTAGAAACTATTTCTCTACCTCCTGATGATTTAAGACTCATCAGGATGAGGAAGATGGCTATGGCCCCTGACATCCACCCAAAGAAGTTCCAGAAAAAACCCCACAGGTTGGTGGACATCTTGGCATCTGCAGCCCCAGATAGAATAGCTCTCCCTATTAATGATGCTATTTTAGAGCCTACCAAGGTCCTCAGGCAGACCCCAGCTTCCCTTTCAGACTGCAAAAAGAGTGGAGAGAAGGTACTATGTCCCCCGTCAAAGGTTCAAACTCCTATATAATTACCCTTTCCAGGCTCCCTTGTAGAAGCTGCAGCCAATGAGAAAGAAAGACAGGGGCACTAGGCATCAATCCCTAAAAATAAATTGGCTAAGAGGCTGGACTTGTTTGGGAGGAGGCTTTATTCCATAGACAAATTACAGCTTCATATTGCAAATCAGCATGCTTTGCTGGGGCACTATGATTTCACCCTATGGGATATGGTTTCAGAGTTCAAAGACAGGCTCCTAGATGAGATTAAACAGGAGTTCCAAACATTAATAAAGGAGAACAAGTTGGTTTCCAGAACAGCTCTGAAAGCCTGGCTGAATACAGCAGATTCTGTAGCTCGCAGCATGCCCTTTTGCCATCACAATGAAGAGCTGTCCTGATTACGTTCTTCTGGCCTCCCTCCAGAGATTCAGCAGACCATCCAGGACTTCCCTTTTGAAGGGCCATTGCTCTTTCAGAAAAGACTGATGAAACTCTGCATAGTCCCGAAGACTAGAGCAACACTGAAATCCCTGGGCATTTGAAGCGGAAGACATTCTGTCCTCATCAGTCCCAGCATTTCCCAGGGTTTGCCCCTTGAGCCCAGGACCTGCCAAGGAGAAAGAGCAGAGGTTATGAAAGATGCCCACCAGCACTGTCTGCTTCAGCAGCCACCGGTGATCATCTACACAAGTGGCATCTTCCAAGAGCTCACTACCAGTTCTTAGAGTGTCATCTTTTTCTTTTCCAATTTTTGCAAACCACCTGTCCCACTTCCATTGTGCTTGGGACCCACATCACAACAGATCAGTGGGTTGTAAGCATGGTGGAAGTGAGATATACACTCCAATTTATTTCTACCTGCCTCCCACTCCCCTTCCTCTTCAGCAACCTCTCCCATGAGGCAGTGTTACTGCAAGAAATACAATCGCTTCTCCTGGTAGGACCTATAGAAGAGGTCCCTCCTTTGTTCCAGGGAAAGGGCTTTTACTCCCAACACTTTCCGATCTTGAAAGCAAAATGGGGTCTCAAGCCTATTTTAGGTCTAAGGGAGTTAAACAACTTCCTAAAAAAAATCAAAATTCCGGATGGTCTTTCCAGCCTCCATTATTATTTCCCTGGAGCGAGGGGACTGGTATTCTGTTCTCGACTTAAAGGATGCTTACTTTCAGTGGCAATTCATCAGAACCACCGAAAGTTTCTGAGATTCATCATCAGCATTCACCATTGTTTGTTCATGACCCTTCCCTTTGATCTCTTGGCTGCCCTTTATATATTTACAAAGTGTATGGCAACGGTAACAGCATTCCTCTGGAGGTGAGGGGTCCATATCTTTCCTTACCTAGACAACTGGCTGATAAGAGGTTGATTCAGGTCACAGGTGATGTCCAGCATAAGCATAATCTGATCCAATTGATGCACTTGGCCTGCTGATCAACCTAGACAAGTAAGTCCTGTCTCTGATATAGAAAATCTAATTTATTGGGGGCTCCTGGACTTGACAATGGCCAGGGCCTTACTACCTCAGGCAAGGCTTCGTGCAATGGAAACCTTCATTCTAGACTTAAAGGCTTATCCCCTCATCACGGTGAGAAACTTTTTAAGGCTTCTGGGGCATATGGCAGCATGCACCTACATAGTTCAATACACCCTGTGTTTCAGAGGGTGTACTGTGTAGCAGAGTTGTTTTCTCCAAGAAGGTACCACGTAAACATGTTAGTGCATGTACGAGGTCATCTGTTCTCCTCCCTAGCTTGGTGGATAGACCTAATCAGTGTCTGCAAGAGAGTTCTTCCCCCCCCACCACCACCACCTCAACAATCTCTTGCCTTAGGCCTGGTCTATACTACAATGTTAGGTTGATACAAGGCATCTTATGTCGACCTAGTCATGCATGTGTCTACACTTAAATTGGTCTCCCACTGATGTAAGTGCCCTGTTAGGCTGACATAGTAGCACCACCTCCCCAAGCAGCGTAGAGCAGAGGTGGGCAAACTACGGCCCGCGGGCCACATCCAGCCCACGGGACCCTCCTGCCCGGCCCCTGAGCTCCTGTCCTAGGAGGCTTGCCCCTGGCCCTTCCCCTGCTGTTCCCCCTCCCCCGCAGCCTCAGCTTGCTCCGCCGCCAGTGCAATGCTCTGGGCAGCCGGGCAGCGCAGCTGCAGAGCCGCAGCCTGACCTGGTGCTCTGGGCAGCTCTGCTGTAATGCTCCAGCCACCAGTGCTCCAGGCAGCGCGGTAAGGGGGTGGGGAGCGGGGGGGTTGGATAGAAGGCAGGGAAGTTCGGGATGGTGGGCAGGGGGCAGGGGTGTGGATAGGGGTCAGGGTGGTCAAAGGGCAGAGAACAGGGGGGCTAAATGGGGGTAGGGATTCCAGGGGGCAGTCAGGAAGGGGGGGGTGGATGGCGTGGCGGGGGGCAGTCAGGGGCGAGAGGTCCAGGGGTGGTCAGGGGGACAGGGAACGGGGGAGGTTGGATAGGGTAGGAATCCCGGGGGGACCGTCGGGGGCGAGAAGCAGGGGGGGTCGGATAGGGGTCGGGGGCCGGGCCACGCCTGGCTGACTGGGGAGGCACGGCTGTTTGGGGAGGCAGAGCCTCCCCTAACCGGCCCTCCATTCAATTTTGGGAACCCGATGTGGCCCTCGGGCCAAAAAGTTTGCCCGCCCCTGGTATAGAGCCACAGTCAATGTACTTAGGCCTATGCAGTGCGAGTGTAGACGCTGTGTTACTTATATGGACCCTAACTGTCCTCCAGCAGCTGTCTTTCAATGCCCCACACTGCTCTAGTCACCATTGTGAACTCCACTATCCAGGGTCACAGAGAGCAGAAGCCCCCCCTCCCTTGTAAAGCCCTGTGAATTTTTGAAATTCCTTTGCCTGGCCTAGTGA